ATTGCAACCAAAAAATCCTCTTCACTAGAGTCTGAGGCGAGCTCAAGTCCAGCCTACAATAATTAGATAGTTAAAACCATGTCAAGTCAAAATCAGCACAGTAATATTTTTTTATGCATGCAGATTCTTGAAAAAATTGGTCGCTTCATGCATATTCCGACATTTCTTCATCAATTCCTCTCACCCCCTATCACAACAAGGCTGAGCTAACCCAACATTCTACTGCTCTCTAAAAGGCCAGCCCATTCGACGAAGCAATCTTGGACCCTCGAGAGAGGTACATAATAGTAAAACAAACCAACAAGACAAGAATGGACTCATAAGATGGGCGGTCAGGGAAGCGATTTGAAATTATCTGGCTGATGAAGTTCAAAGATAAACGAGCATCAACAATAGAAAAGTAACTCTGAAATTCAATAACAATACAGCATACTGTTCCAGTCCATGTAATATCGGATTTATCATTAATACTTTCTCCATCGCTGAAGTGGACATACAATCCGAAGTACGTTTCAGTGTCAAAGTTAGTATCCATATGTTTTAATACAAGAAGGCTGTAGAACGGGATGTCCCACTTTGGTTCTTCATATTAACTATTAAGGAGAAGTGGAGCAATTTGCTGAGCTTACATCATTGACCAAAGCCAACTTTACGCTCCCTCGACTTCAATATGACATAGTATTACAAAACAATAAGACATGCCACCTTTTTCAAGGCCAAGTTAAGACTTAATGATCAATATTATCATCTCATAGACTTTTCACTCTATTTGAATTCAAAATAAATCAAAAGATGAGCATAACCTTGTAAGCCGTTTTGGCCATTGAATGTGAGCATCCCAATTTTGCGAACACTCGAGCTCCAGCCATTTTGAGGGCCAAGGATGTAGTAGAAGTCATTATATTAACCAAAATCGCTAAGAAGACTTCCGCAAAGTCATCTGCTAACTGACTAATGCATGCTGCAGCAAATATAGATGCTTTTACCTGTAAAAGAGGATATCCTTAGTTTAAAATATGTTCAATTATAGTGTATAGGATGGAGAAGGAATCTCCTCTTAAACAGGAATGTCCAGAATACATAAAATTGGGTTTGGCTTTACATACACTTCGTTAAATTTCCTAATAATCCACTAATAAAACACAAAACACAATAAATCAATGCTAAACATTAAACGAAATTGTTAGCGACGGTACAAGATTTGGTAGGTTATGGTAACTGATTTTTCCTTGAGAGCATCCACAACAATTTTCTAAATACTATAATTAAAATTATTTTGGCCTCTATGAACTACATTTTAGCTTACTGCTAGTTTTGTCGAGGAATGAGTCCACTGAACAAACAATCCAGTCTCTACCCCAAAACCCTTCTTTAAATTCTTTATGAAACTTACTCTCAATCAAGAAGATGAATTTGCTTCCAAGTCCAGGGCATACGTGTTATAGTTGAGAAAAAAAATATTTGGTCGGCTTTCTTGTTTCGGTTGGCTAGTTTGAATCGTTTTGGATCATTCCGGGAGTGCTTTTGACCAAATTAAGCCCAAAAAATGTCCGTGCGACTACTGTTTTGGACCACTAATAATACTTAGCACTGATTTAAGGATAGTTAAAGGATTTGGCTCCACAAATAGGCTCAAAACTCAATTTTCTGAGTGGAAGGAATATTGTAGGTAAAATTGGATTACGTGAAGCTAAACCTAAGAATATTCGGCCAAGGGAAGCTTAGGAGCATCAAGTGAACCTAAAACTGTAAGTGGACTCCCTATTGGGATGCCTATGGGCTGGTTAGATGAAATTGTTGTATTATACTTGTTTATTACGTGTTATATGATAATGATATAACTATGTATGTTTTATTTGATGTACCGTACTTCCATGCATGTAAATCTTATGAACATGTGTATGATTCTCGAGGCACCATGAGTTGAAATATGTTATAAAGTATGTTAGAAATGTCATGATTATGTATGCTAGCCTCGTAGAGAATGTATATCATGATAACATGGAAGTACTGTATGCATCATCCAACGACACCATGGTTTTTATGCAGGACCTCGTGTGTGTTATAAGTACATTAAGTATGGATTACTTTTCCTCATATGGTGCATACCTATAAGAATGAAAGCTTTTCTTAAACATTCTTTCGTCATAAGGGAATTTATATACTGAACCCAGTTGGACAACATAAACTAAAATTGTCATAAAAGATTAAATTTTGAGAAGAAAATAAAATGTATACAGCACTAACCTCAGAAATATGAGAAGATAGCAAGCTACGAAGTATCATATAACGTATCTGGGCACTGCCTTCTGCAAAATGTGCCCAACATCCTAATAGAATCAAAGCTAGAGCTCTAGCCTCAGGATCCCCTCCACCAAGAACAACCTTTACTCGAGTCAGTAATTCATGATGGTTTTGCACTCTGGCCTTTGAAAGAACCCCTTGGTATTGTTGACTTTTTGTCCTGTCACGGCTATTGAGCTCGGATAAGAATACCCTAACAACAGCAACTCTAATATGTTTGTCATCAGACTTAAACGCATCAGCAAGCCGTAGGAGAATAGTGTTGGAAAATAGCCTATCCTCCCAAGTAACAAGGTCAAACATATTATATACTGCTATATTTGGCTCTGGCTCTCTACTCCATTGCTGAAGTCGAGATCCAATCTGAAGTATAGCTTCAACAGCCCGACCTGAATAAACCACAAATTACAAGTATTATATTTCATTAAGACAGTGCCATTGCTGTGCTACAATCCCAAACTAGGCACCAATGTTGTTTTTAGTTCAATGGAGATGCTCAGCCGATGAGGGATCAATTGACAAGTAGCTTTTCTTTTGTACTATTGAGGATGGTTGGGAGGGAGTCCCACGTTGGCTAATTTAGGGAATGATCATGGGTTTGGGTTTATAAGTAAGAAATACATCTTCATTGGTATGAGACCTTTTGGGAAGCCCAAAGCAAAGCCATGAGAGCTTATGCTCAAAGTAGACAATATCATACCATTGTGGAGAGTCGTGATTCCTGACATGGTATCAGAGTCATGCCCTTAACTTAGCCATGTCAATAGAATTCTCAAATGTCGAACAAAGAAGTTGTGAGCCTCGAACGTGTAGTCAAAAGCGACTCAAGTGTCGAACAAAGAGTGTGCTTTGTTCGAGGGCTCCATAGGCCTCAAGGGAGGCTCTATAGTGTACTTTGTTTGAGGGGAGGATTGTTGAAGATTGTTGGGGGAGTCCAACATCGGCTAATTTAGGAAATTATAATGGGTTTATAAGTAAGGAATACATAACTATTGGTACGAGGTCTTTTGGGAAGCTCAAAGTAAAGTCACGAGAGCTCATGCTCAAAGTGGACTATATCATACCACTGTGGAGTGGAGAGTTGTGATTCGTTTCTTTTCTCTCTCCCTTTTTTAGAAGCTAGCCTAGTAATTTTAGTTTGAAATTAAAGAACATAGATCAGTCAAACGATTGACGAACCTGGTTTCTTTGAACGAAGAGCCTTCTCCAGCTCAATACTCCATTCCATAGCAGAAGCTGCAGCATTTCTCTCCATGTGATGTAATTACTCAAACCAATAGCAGTCACACATGCACTCGGACGCCCCAGACTCCCTTTACGAAAGCATCACCAAATAGTCCCAGCGAATAAAAAAAACACGCCAAATTCGGTACCCAAATCTTCAAACTTCGAGCCTTACCAAACAATGATTGTTGAACTACAATGATAAGGCAGAAAATCACGAAGGTTAAGTAAGCTCTCAATGAGCCAATCAACCACCAAGTCCGACCAAAATTTGCATCGGCGAAAAGCAAAGAGGCGAAAAGAGATAGAAAGTAGCGACCTTGTTGTAACGCAGAGGCACTCCCGGCCGGCGGCGACACCACGGAGCTGTTGCTCGGTTTTGAAGCATGATAAAAATTAATTAACAATTTCATCCACCATCGAAATTTTTTATTTATATTTAGTCGTAAAAAAATTTAAATATTTTTATGAAATTTTAATTTTTAAAAATTCAACAAATTGTTAATTAAATTGGTTAAAAACTTATTAAATGCAAATTTTAAAGTTTAAATCTTTACTAAATACTTCACTTTAATAAATATTTTTTTCATGGACCGATATAAACATTTAAATAAAATAATTATTTCTAATTATAATAATACAGTTAAAATAAAAAATAAAATCAACCTTACTGACTCAATCAATTTTCACATTAATATATTATATTTAATAAATCATAACTTTAGATTGGTTCTAAAAATAAAATTATTTTGATTACCAAAAATATGTGTAGAAATTTAATTATTATGATTTAATTTTTCAATTTCTTAGAACACGAAAATATGAAGATCGATACATATCTCGGATTTAAATTAATTTCAGTTTTTTAAATATGTTGGTTAATTTTTATATGCCTATTAAGTAGATTACTAAAGATATATTTATTCTTATACTAGATATTTATACATTTATAATATCTATATTTATAGCATGTCGTACTCTATGGTTGCTACTCATAATCGTTCATTGGTCTAGTTTATACATATTATAAAAACGTTTAAATAATAATTTGAACGTCACAAACTTGTTGAAACGAGTATTAAACATCAAATAAATATGATCATCAAAATTTTGAGGTTAAACAGATACAATCATAGAGGGAAACATTCTGATACAAGCTCGTGTCACGTCCATTAAATTAACCAACGACTTACTTTATAGATCGAATATGTGTGCTTTTTGTTTAGAACATGTATTTTATCCATCAAAACACGTTCGAATTGACACTCACGATTTTGTCGAGTCAAACAATAGATACATCATCCTTAACTTTCAATTTTTATATATTAAGATTTATTTACCTTGTTTTAAGTTTGAAAAATGTAAAAGAAATTAAAATAATAATAATAAATAAATTTGACGAGTAATTTTTTTTTAAGCGGTAAATTGTATATATACATATATGGGTGGTGGTAATTAAGAAATGCACTCCGACGACAACGCCTTTCTCAGCCGTTCTTCCTATTTCGCTTCCCTGTGTGGCCGTTACCGTCGCCACCGGCCAATGCTCACTCCTACTGCCCTCAACGCCCTCAAATCCTCAAGGTCAATATCTTGGTCGCCGGTACTTTATCTCTCCCTCTCTCTGTCGATCGCCATAGAAATAGTGCTTTTCCGAGAACAAAAAAACTGCTGAAAACAATTGAATGGAAGGTGGTTTATATGTAGTTTTCGTACTTACTTGTTCGATCTTTCTTGGTCTTTTTTGTTGCGAAGACGGGTAAGTTCCAGCAAACCTTGGCGGGATGTCTGGAGCTGAGTGGGATATCTCTGCATTCAGGGAAGGTTTCGAAAGTGAAGTTATGTCCGGAATTTGCAGGCAGAGGGAGGTATTTTGATTTCAAGTCCAAATTCATTCCTGCCTCGATCGATTATGCGGAAGAGTCGTCTCTTTGTACGACGCTCTCTAAGGATGGGTTTAAAATTCGAACTGTTGAGCATTTGCTTTCTGCCCTGGAGGCCATGGGGGTTGACAATTGTAGGATTGAGATTGCGAATGAAGACGCTAAAGACAGTGAAGTCGAGGTACTTGTGACCGTCATTGTGAATTCATTTTTTCATTATTCGCGAAAATCTAGTTTGTGTTATATCAACTTCTCCGGATGAATGGAACCGTGATAATTTGTCAGCCTACTGTCATTTGGTTATATACACACACACACACACACGTACGTTATAAACGTTGAAAGAATGCAGCATTCACCAAGAAAAGTGAATATTAAAGAAGGGGCGAGCAAACCTTTTTTTAGGACGTCTCAGCATCATTGAAAATTCTCCTGTTTCTCTCTAGTTAAAACCCTGTAAGGTGGCCAATAATGTAAAAGTCAAAATGGAGGGTGGAAAAGCACCTCCTCCATTGCAAAGCAACATCTTTGGTTTTGAGGCAAGTGAACGCCAAAAGTAAAAAAAAAGAAAAAAAAAAAAAAAAGGACACAAGAGGTCCCAAATTACAGTAGCAAACTGTCAACTACGAAGTATGTGCTCTAGGTACTCTGACGCACCATTGGTTTTGGTTCTTTCTTGTTCATTCCCGTTTTCATTGATAGTTTAATACTCGGTCTCTTATCCAAAAGTTGCCACAAATATTTAAATATCAAATTTGTAATTTCTATGTGAAAAGTTAGTCTCTATGTGTAATAAATTTGAGTGATTATGATTTTTTTAGCTTTAGTATCAATATTGTGTCGTACCCTTAGCTGAAGAATGTTTCTGATAATATATATTCAGGTTCCAATTTTTGATGGATCTGCGTGTAAATGGGTGGATGCAATAGAGGAGGTTGGTCTTAAGTTGGCTATAGACCAGCGTGGCAACTGCTGTGAAAAAATGGCACCATATGTAAATCAACCTGTCTATGCGTGGAGGAATGACTGTTATCTTGTTGCTTTTCCAGCCTCAAAAGTTCGTATTACTTATGGAATTGACTTTCCTCAGGTACAAATATCTTTTTATAAATGGTTATTTACTGCATGCTGTGTGAATTGAAAATGTTGCGCCTCTTTATTTATTTATTTGTGGATTTCTGTGTTAGCTTCATATTACAAGAGTAGTTCTCTGAAAAACTTCTTTCTGTAATATGTTTGATTCTTTGACATTGCCACCAAGAGCCTAATTGATATTAAGAAAGATCCTTTAAAAATGATAAAATTTAGAAATTAGTACTATTTTGACATGGAAGTTGTACTGCCAATTTTTGAAATAGCCTTTGCCTGTCTTCATCTAAACTCCTCTTAATTAGTCCATATTCTTATATTACTTAGAATTGGAAATATGTTAAAGTAAGTCAAAGATTGGGCTTGTTATTAATTCTTTTTGCAAAATGTTATCGAATGGATGAAAGTTTACTGTTGATATATTAAAATAATAGGTGGAACTAGGCTATGGCAATTGATTTAATACTATCGGTTGAATCTTACTGTCAAGTGGTATTGAATGATCTGTGAACCTTTCTTACGTGCAAGGTGCCTAGCATTGGCTGCCAATGGTTTTCTACTGCTCCTTTGGACAATACATTCTATGCCGAGCAAATAGCTCCATCAAGAACCTTTTGCATTTACGAGGAGGTTTGTTTAAGTTTGCTAGCTAATACTTTTGTTTTGTGAATCTGTTGATATTTCATCATAAAAGAAGTGGTTCTTACCGAAATGATTGTTGGGTTCTGTAACAGACATGTTGACCCATCTACTTAAGTTATATATATTTTTCATTGGGGGGGGGGGGGGGGGGGGGGGGGGGGGGGGGGGGGGGGGGGGGGGGGGGGGGGGGGGGGGGGGGGGGGGGGGGGGGGGGGGGGGGGGGGGGGGGGGGGCAGGGTATCAGAATTTATGCATGTTTAATGAAGAAGAAGAATGTGAGCAAAAGAGAAGAGGAGGTCTGTAATCTTAATGGTGGAGAAAGCCCACATTTCCACCATCATTACCTCCATTGTCAATAGTTCTCAATCCATTTGAATTATGATCAGCCGACGTATCATCCAGTTTGAGTCTATGGGGATCTACAATCTCTTCCATTTATATATTCTTGCATTTTGAATCGCTATTAAATATTGAAACAATATTTACAACTTTTTGAGATGCACTGGAGAAAGCTACATAGCCTTGAAGACTTTCTGGGTCTTATTCAGTATTTCTCAACAATACATATTACATACTTACTGCATATAACATTTGCATAAATAACAGTGTAATTGACTTCCTTACAGGTAGAGCAAATGCGTAATATGGGGCTCATAAGAGGAGGCTCAATAGAAAATGCTTTAGTGTGCAGGTTTGTTGCTTTATTCATAAATCTTCGATCTTCAAGTTCCTGGTTGATTTTAGTGGCTTCTTTCTGATATGATATGTACAGTACAAAATATATTTTAGTCAACCTGGTTCCCCTTTTCCTATCTACTCCAGTGTCAGTAAAGGTTGGATCAATCCCCCATTGCGTTTCCATGATGAACCTTGTCGCCACAAGGTTTTAGATTTCATTGGTGATATCTCACTTTTTGCACGGTTAGGCAGTCAAGGGCTTCCGGTGGCACACATGGTGGTTTACAAGGTAAGTTCTTTGTGATTTACCTCTCTAGTATGTGGTTATTACATATAGGATTACACTACCAATCAGATGATAAGAATTCTTAGGAGCACAATCTGAACTTGCTTTGTCTTTTTATTACGTGGATACCTTTTATTTATTCCTCAAGCATGTTGTTTCCTGCATTATAAGAGCCAGGTATCTTTTGATGATTATTAACAGTTGAAAGACTCTTCTTGATTAGCTCTTCTGGAGGGGGTAATCTCAACCCTCCCTTGTCGTCAGATTCTTTTTGGTTTCTCTTGATCCATACACATCTCTGTTTCTTACAAATATGTGTGTGTTTGTATAAGGGAAAGGTATATTATCAGTCTCCTTGCTCTATTATGTCTTTCTTTGTCCCTTGCCCTTTTTGTATATATTTGTATATATTGATGACGAACCCTGGTATTTAGTTTCTCTTGGTGCATCACATGATAGGAATTTATGAATTTGGCGATCAAATATATTCTATTGTTTCTTTATTTCTCTAATAAGTTCTTGCCTTGTTGTGATATGTTAATGTCATGCCCTCAATTAACATACTTCCATTTTGCTACTATGCCATTTCACTTTGTTTCCAGAAGCTGCATCAAATCTAAAAAGTGCTTTATTTGAGGGTGTGCCATGACTTTCTCATTTGAACCTTTAGTTCCCATAGCAAATCCTTGTCTTAGTTATTTGAATGTTGTTTTTGTGACTGGTGGACATATAGACGGAGGTTATGTAAATGTGAGCATTGCTTTTTTTGAACTACTTGAATTTTTCTGCTGAAAGTTTGAGAGGGATTTGGTGGTGTTCTTTGTTAGGGAGAACTGTTAAAACGATTGTATTTGAGCAGATTGTATAGAGGGTTGAGAGTTTTAATTGATGTGTCATTTGGGGAAATATTATGGACACTATAAAAGGTTGGATCAAATCGGAAATATCAGTTCAAGAAAATGTGTCCAAATTTCTGACGTAATCGACTAGGGGGGGGCAAATTGGTCGGCTGACATTGTTTTGGGCTCAAACCAATGCTCATCCCTGACGTGTCAATTTTGGTCAATTGGAGTCCTGAAACTTTCTAACCTTTGTACAAATTGACCATTCTCGGTCAGTTGGTTTTGATCGGATTTTGGTGGATGCTAGAGAAAGAGTAGATTATCATAGTTGTGTGGCTAAAAATGTCGAGATGCAGCTATAGGAGAGAGTATAAACCAAAGAACATATTATTTTGTCTTCTTTCTTGTCATTAGGAAGTTTTTAATCTTCATTTTGCTCAAGAAGAAAGAGCAGTGGAGCATAGTGTTAATTCTAAAGGTTTTTTCCCTTGGTTAATCTTGCTACTCAAAGATTCATACAAAGAAAGGTAGTTATGTTAACCAATAAAGAGGGAATGAGCCTGATGAGTTGGCCAATTCCTATTTAGGTCGTCTTTTTACCAAGGTAAATCATAAATTTCTTAGTATTGGTAGTTACTAGTTTTGACAATTACTGTTATTTAAGTAAAAAAGGCTGGTTTGTAGCCTTTAAATAGGGTCCGTAAGTTGCAAGAATTTACTTTCAGAATAAAAATGAGACTCTCTCCAAGATTTAATTCGAGAAGATTAGTCTACACTAAAAAACAATATTTAGATACCCTGTTGTACTCTCACTCCTAACAGATTTTATGAATACTATGCTCGAAATTGAAGGAATTCTATGCAATGTTAAATGAGCCACAACTCTATTCGCAACTTGTGATTCTTTGAGGACTTCTAGGGGGAGAAAATAGGGAGCCCATGTAGTACATCTTGCTGGCTTTGGACGACTCCTCTTTTCCTTCAGTTGGAAATAAATTACTGTTATTCACATTTGTTCATGTCACTTGAATACATTTAAATTTTATCATGTTCTTTGTGTTCTTTTGGATACAATTTTTTTTAAGAAGTTATACTTGTTGGCATGTCTTGATTGGCGAGTGTATGCTTGGGAAGCTTAAAAGGAACAAGTAAATGCTTTGTTAATGAATTTTTTGAGGTCATGCGTTTTCTTTTAGTACAATAAACGTGGTGATGGAATTTTGAATCTCTGACTTTGAGGGAAGAAGTAAATGTCTTTAACAGCTGTGCATATTCTTCAAGGTCAGGGATGCAAATAAGATTGTTGAATTTTCATATCTCAATGCAGGGTGGTCATTCTATGCATGCCAATTTTGTTCGCCGCCTATTGGAAAACATTTGAGTAGACAAGTAGCTGTCTTTGCTTGCAGAAGTGTAAAAATATTCTGCAATTGAGGCAATTAAGTCTTTGAAATTTCTCCTCCGGTTGCTTGGCAGATGAAACATTCTGCTGTAATTTGGGAAAATAGTTGTGTAAAATCTATAAGAACGATCAACGGGTAGGATTCTTCACAATTGCAGTAATTTCATATACTAGATCGTATGTTGTAGGAAGTTTTTGTATTCTTTTAAGCCACAAATCCAAATGAGTGAAAATTGATTTAGGTTTTCATCTTAATATTGTTTTCTAGTAAATCCTTAACAGGATAGATGAATAACTACTTGGCTTTTATCTTCTAGTATAAAATTTGCCTAAATGGAACGAATAGATAGAAAAAATTGGATGAGATCATACGTCTGTATGGTATAAATTACTCACCCTGCTGATGGTTTAATCTGTGTACGAAGAGTTGGCTGATCCAGTGGCAGCCTATGTGGTTGACCCTACACTTAGTAATTTTTCACATTTCTTGAAACTGTTGGACATGCATTGGATTCGTAAGCTAAATACATACGCCTTGCATTAATTTGCAACATCATCCCTCTCCAACCTCATGATTTGGGAAGGATTTTCAACTCTCAGACAAGGAATGGTGCACTGGAGTTTATGAGTTGCTGTTTTATTGAAACCAGTTCTTTGCTCTTTGTTGGTCATAATAATCTAATGTGGTACTCATACAGTCATTAAGTGTAGAGGTTGCAGTATCTCAGATCTTGCTGATATGCTTGATTCAGGAACTCTCTGAAGGTGTCCACAACTTCCTTAATTTATTCTTAACTCGATTGTGTGCTCATCGAGGAGGATGATATCGCCATGTGAAGAAAGGTACACTTCAATAATTGTTTTTTTTTTTTTTTAATTTTATTTTTAATGATAATGTTATTGATGATTTATTAGACTGAGTCAATACAAATGGTCAGAAAATAACATGGTTAAATTTTTACGGCTTGGGCTCTTTTAGGTGATAGATTCTAAACTTCCCTCCAGGTTATTAGTGTAGATGCAAATTGTATCTCTGTATTGTAGGTTGTCTCTGATAAGGATTCATGGTCCTCTATATTGAATTTGAACATCCACTCTGGGAGTTTTCTTGAACTCTGTTAATCATGGCCATACGGATTAAAATCGACAAGTGATGTTAAATATTCTTCGACTTCGATCTTGTTTCTCAGCTTTTAGCTATTCTGTTTCTTGTCATTATAACTTTTGTTTCTTATTTTGGAAAAAATCAATTTAGACTCCTAAACTTGTCAAGTTGTATTAATTGTAACCTTAAACTTTTAATTTCATGAAAGTTTATCAACTTTTAAAGCAAAATTGTCTAATCTCAACAATTTTAACCCTCTAATAAGATCTTATTTTAAATATGGTTGAGAAAATTATAAAACATATGAAGAGAAAAACAAATTGGTTTCTGTTAATTCATGTGCATGACAGGAAGCTCCTAATAAAGTGTTTTTATTTATTCTTATCTTTACTTTTCATGAACTAATAATATGAATTTGAATGTGCTCCACCTGAATAAAATAATATCAGCAGTGTCATAGATAATTTAAACCAATATCAATTATCCACTCTCGTCTGCCAATCCTGCAACATTTTCTGGGAGAGCCAATCAAAATGGATGTAATATTTTAATTTTTTTTTAAATATCAAATAGAATAAAATGTTTGAAGTAGATCATAAGAACGATCCATGTGGGAGTTCTTATTTTATGGTTTTTTTAAACAGACAATCAATTGATCTGTCAGAAACTTGTTTATGGCATCGTGGTGGACACTTATTACCTTGGAAATGGTGTTCCTGTTTTCTTTTTTTTTTTTTATGACGAATCCAGAAATTGAGATTTGGATTACTTTATGAGTTTTGACTGACTTATCTTATCATCTCTCTCTCTCTTTCATGTTGCTCTTCTTTTGGGGGTAAAAAGCCTGTCTACCTCTCAAACAAAATGAAGCAAACCTTTTTTCTTCCCTTCTTTGAGCATGTAACTCTGTAAAATTTCTTGAGGAAAGACATTCTGTGAGAAGGGTTGCAAGATGGATTGGTAAAGATTAGTGTACTCTGTCTTTTTCTACAGTTTGCAATAGAATATGATTGGCCTTTGATTGAACGAGTGCAAGTATGCAAGTGACTAGGGGACTCTGTAAGATTACTTATTTTTAAAGACGAAAAGACAATTCTGTCAAAAAGTATGGAACGAGTGAAGAAAAAAGTATAAAAAGTACTGAACTCTGCAGAAGAAAAGGAGTATAAAAGAGAAGAGTTTGGTGTAATAACAAGAATATATTAACAATACCTGAATCAATAACACACTCATTGCAGATTACATCATATGTCAACTGAATATGACAATAGAAGAAACAAAAATAAAAATTCCAATCAGTAGGGAGACTACCTATACAAATCCACACAACCATTGGCTCACTCAAAAACAAACCTGACAGAAGGTGGTTAGCCAACAAGTCAACTATTCTTCCTTTTTAACTCTTTCTTTCTCCCCTTCTTTGCTGATCTCTAAACACAGGGATGACAATCCTAAGTCAGATGCATTACCAATTACCTCTCTTTGTGCAACGTGCAACGTCGTCTTTCCAAGTCTTTCCTCTTACTATATTGCCAACAATTTAACGAACACAGGGTCATCGGCATGCGGGCTACACTACTATGATCAATCATGTGGAAGAAAATTAAATATAGAGTAAAAAGGAACAAAGATCATAAACTATGTGGAAACGCTTGGTTGCACAAATGCAGGTTCAGTTTCTTGTTATTGAGTGCTACGATTCAACCCACCGCGTCCAACATTCCTGGAAAATATGAAAGATGTCAGTCAACTTTTCATGAGATGTTAATGTATTGTAAGAAAACAGTCTGAATCTAATAAGGAAGGCTTTAAGAAGTCGCAAGTGCAAATAAACATCAGGGCAGTAGGTGGGTTAACACAGATCAACAAATGATAAGAATTCTCACAAGTCTTCTAACAATTAAACTTTTGTTTCTTTCTTTTGCTCAAATAGTCATCACAGATTAAGAAGATTAAAACATCGACGTGTTCGAGGTAATCGTGTTTCGAAATGCCTTGCTCAAGTGGTGTGGTAGAGAGGAAACAGTCTACAGTCCATGATCTTGAAACTCGATAAGAGCACCATAATACATGTGTCCATATACACAACATCTTCAAGGACATAAAGGAAAAGGACATCTTAACAAAGAAACTGAACACATGGAATTTAATACAATTGCCTATTTTCTAATCAATTCAATCCAAATATCCCGTGCAGTTCCTATCAAATATTTGCTACGTATTCCCAACATTTAATCCCACTACATCCAACATATTAACTTGACACTAATTAAGTGGCAGAAATATGATGAAATTACATAAATTAGGGAGCATATCAATATAAGCTCTTTAAATCACAGAGATTGGCATCTTCTCCCGCCCCACCCCCCACCCCCCACCCCAAAATAATAAAATCATATCAGAGATATGCAATCATAATAGTCATTGCGTACACAACACTAGTTTTCTGATAATAACAGCATTGATTGATTACTAGTTTTGTACATGACAGAAATCCGAATTAATACCTTCCAGGATGCAGTTGTGCTGCACTAACGGGGCCCTTGGTGCTGCCACCAAATCGCTTTGCCTTGTTCTCCTGCACTTTCTCCACACGCATAGCTGCTACCTCCTTCTCCATGGCAGCCACTTCCCTTCTCATCTTCTTTGCCTCAACCTCCATTGCTTTTGTCAGCGTCTCTACCTTCTTTGCTAACATCTGAAAAGCATCGAGCACCAAAACCAGAAAAGAAGTTGACATCTATGAGACTCACATATACTGAAAAAGTTACATAAACGCGAACAAGCTTGTGCAGAATATCAACCTCAATGGCGTCATCCTTGTCTTTAAGGATTTGATCTTTCTCATGACCGCCTTTTCTCAAAGCTATAACCTCCTTCTGAAGTAAATCGTACAACGTACCCGGAACACTGTCTTCACTCTCAATTGTGGGAGACTCGTTTCCCTTTTCATCAGGATTACTTTTCCAATCATTATTTACTTCACTGTCCTTGCTTGCATCACAGGACTGATTGAATGAATAACTGGGTAGAAGTCTATTTAAAGACACCTTTCCTCGGTCCAATGACCTCGTGCCTCCATCAAATGATTTCGACGTGCCTTTAGCATGTTTCAACACTGTGCTACTGCTTGAGGACAAAGGTCTATACTGAGAACCTGGTGTCTTTTTTGATAAAAATCCATTGGAAGTTAATTTCGAAATGTTGTCAACTCCACCCAGAGATTGCCGACGAGAGGGGCCATTGCTTATACTTCTCCCTTCAGGAGTACTCCGATTGTTACTGCCAGAAGACCCTCTCAAGCTCTCTTCAAGCACTCTAAGTCGCAGCTGATACTTCTCCTGGAAAACAGTAGCAGAGAGGTCTTTAGTTTCTAGCAACTGCTAACCATGTACACAATGACAGCGAGAAAAGAATAGATTACTTTCAATAGAGCTTCAGACTTAGCAGTTCGTTCCATTATAGCAAGTTTATCACGAAGTTGCTGCATTTCTCCCTGAAAATAGAGGTAATGGCACAACAACATACAGGCAACAGATAAGCCTAGAGCACAATATTGGATGCAAAAGAGTTGTGGAACTCAATTTACCTGCAAAAATCTTCGTTCTTCAAGCCACTGTTTTACAGGCATAACCTTATCATTTGCATCTTTCCATTCATTTGCTACTACAACAGCCACTCTGTTGGCTGTTACCTTTGCACGAGCCAACTCTCTATCAAGAGTTTTCCTTTCCTCCTGAAGAACACAGAGAAACCTCAACAATTTTGGTAATGCACTCGAAGATTCAAATTAGTACATTTGAAGTAAAAGAACTTCTGATTCAAATACTTCGGCACATTACATTCATCTCTTGAACTTTGCGCTGGTAATCCCTCACAGCATTTGCTGCAGCACCACCAGCAAGAACAGCCTCCTCCAGCTCCCTCACAGTTTGCGTTAATTTTTCAACCTCTGCAACTTTTTGTCTGTGCATCTTGTCCAAGATTTTATTTTCTTCCTAAAACAGATCAGTAAACCTATAAATTTCTCCTCATTATGAAGCTTAAAAAATGATGATGGACGAAATGGCTTACATGCTCAGATGTTAAGCATCATGCATCAGAAACATTACCTGGCAAATCTCTATCTGTTTCATCAACTCCTGATTTTTATTCTGTAAATCATCCACCATAGAGGCCTTGGCCAGGGCACTTTGAACAGTCCTCTCAGCATCAACCAAGGCTGCTTCCTTTGATTTGGTAAGGCGATCCAATGCTTTATTGTCATCTTGAAGCTTAGCAATCTGGAAATCAACCAAGAAAACACATATAAAGTCACAGTAATTCTCTTTCCGTGCAGTTTGTGTTTTAGTATTTATTGTGGCATATGTAATAAATAGTACCTCCTGTCGTGCAAGCTTGAGCTCAGCCTCCAAAGGTGCAAGAATGGCTTCGATTGGAGGCATGTCATCATCCTTTTGAGCAGCATGCACCCTCCTAAGAGTAGCTTCAGCAGCAAATTGAGCTGCCATTGAAGCCTTCTTCTCATCATTGATTTTCTTTATTTCAAGATTCTGCAAAATATTACACGATAAATTACATGTTATCAACCAAAAGGTGTAAAGAAGGTTAAAAAAAAAAAAAGGTTCAGTGAATACCTTGCTTTCAAGAAGAGATTCCGTCAATTTTAACTTCTCCTCAGCCTTTGATAGTTCTTCAGTCAGCTATATATAAATTAAACACCAAATCAATCATTTCCATAAATTACATTTCCCCAACTTTTATGCATAGAAAGGTAATAAATAAGCCACTCGGACATTATAAATGTTGCTTGAAAAGAACACATGAAAAGGAAAGCCAGTGGAGCCTTACTGTATAAAGCAAAGTAGGAAAGATAAACCTGACTACCAAAAGTTCTAAGATCAAAGAGGCCTACATACACTCCAAAGCCAACTTTAAAATGCTGATAGGAGATGAGAATACATACAAGTAAAGCAGTACATTCGCATCAGTTTACAGGAAAACTCTTAGTTTCACAAGACCACAACACCTATAATTCAGAACATTAGAAATTCTATCATCTCTGAAGATGGATTAACACCTAAAACTGTGAACACTTGGAATTCAAAGCAACCATTTAAGAGTCCAAGACTCACTGAAAAGTTACAAAAATAATTCCAAACAGGAGTTAAAAAATAGATATGTGATTAAACCTATGACATACATTGAAAGAAAATAAACGGTGAAATCATTTTCACAATTGTTTTTCCAAAAGGAGAGGCTAACTCCAACCAGAATGAAAATGAACATGACATAAGAAATATGAAAATTTCACCATCCCCCAATATTAGTACAATGAAAAATAAGATTTGAGCATGAATGTAAACGGAAAATCTTCATGCTGCACTCAAATTTAGCCAAATACAAGGACTCAAGGATCACACGTTATTCAACTGGTCCTAAAGGGAAAGCTTAGGAAATCAAAAGTGTCTTTCCAGAATGCTTGGTTCAAGAAATTTGGGACAAGGGCGTAGTTCTTCCCACTTAGGCTTGATGGAGCTTAACGATCCACATTGGCAAGGAAACTGGCATATGAAAAATGGGAACTACCCACCATTAACTACCGAGGGAATGCCAACAAAATGGAAATAAGAACAATTAGGGGATTTTAATTGAGAAGTTCAGATCTCAACAATACAAAAAGCAAACCCAACAACTTGTAGAAAAATGCTCCAGCCTAGATTCTGCAAACTCAGCAGATAATTTTGGCAGTTTCCAATAATAAAGGGTGTTGTATTCACTGTCAAATCCCATCCTATCTCACAGAAGAAAAAACTTTCCAAGTAATTTCTTCAGTTCCTTTAAGCTAATCGACAAGAATCGCACAATTAACAGCATAAAGATGTCCCAAAAACAATAAAATGATCAAACATTAACCTCTTCAACTGCCTTCTCTCTAAGCCGCTCAGACAACTTTAATGCCTTGATCTTCGCCTGAGCTTCCCCAAGCTCTCGATCCTTATCTGCGAACAAGACAGAAATACGAATCGAACACAAAACATTGAATAAAACGAGCTAAAAAAACAGCAGATCGAACCACATTTCGTACCTCGCACTTCATTCTCGAGGCGATTGAGCTCCAACTTCACCGGATCCGAGCCGGGAAACAAGTTAAAGAAGTCGTCGGCGTCCATACTCGGCCTAACCGACGTCCGGCGCCTCGACGAGCTCTTCCCCTCTTTGAAAGATCCTGACACCGTCAACGACGTTGGATTCGGTGCCGGAATGGGTGTCGGCGTAGCCTGAGAATCTACTGCTCGTCCATTACTAACCTCCGGCAAAAACCCACCTCCATCGCCAGAAATCTCCGCCATAACCTGATCTACCCGAATCTCTCCCCTCTTTCTTCACATTCAAATGCAAGCCCAGCCCAGGATCCACAAACTCTAGGGCTCCAAATCTCACAAAAGGTACATTACATTCACCTCAAAAAATCGATAAACAAAAGAATAATAACAAAACTCAATAATACACACAGAAACAGAACCCAATACTCCCTCAACTCAAGTATACAGAGCAAAACCCAACAGAGAGAGAGAAAGAAAATGGAAATGAGAAATTGGGTTCGTTAAGGAGAACTGAACTCTCTGCGTGTGTGTGTCTCACTCCAAGAGGGGTATAAATGAAGTCTAGAGAGAGAAAGAGGGAAATGGGGGCTCTGGTTTCTCTGGGTCAGTGTTTCTCTCTCTAGAAATCTGGGAGGGTGTGTCAGTATGTGTGGGGGAAGACTGTTAGAGAGAGAAAAAGACAGATAGAAAGAGAGTGAGTGTGAGAGAGAGAGATTATTATTTGATTATCTAAACAATTAACTTTTGATTTAATTTAATTTAATTTAATTTAATTTAATTAGATTAATAAAGAGATTAAAAAATTTATAATTTTGAAAATACAGGTCTTCTTTGCAGGCGCTTTGCTGTTAGTCAGGGAGAGAATACAAAGGTTTATTTTTTTTTTAAATTAATTTTCTTAAAACAATAAATAATTTAATTAACTGAGTTTTGTCATATTTGTTCAATCCCGTTCTTAGGATTCGTGGTTAGTAACAAAAAATTTTCATATAATTTGTATCATGAACTACGTCATTAATACCTAGTCAAACCCTTTTGAAGTCTGACCAGTTTTGGGCATGCAAACTCGAGCCTTGACCGAATGTAGAAAGTTGTGTTTTACACAGGATTTCTCGTTACTCATGTCAATATTCTCGCTTTTAATATCTCTAAATGTTATCACAAAAAACCTTTCTCGATTCACAAAATGTCTAAGCTATTCATACTTAAAAAAGCTTTTCTTTGGTGAATCACTTGACTCCTCTTACGTGTTCGATGTCACGGAATCTAGACTAATGGATTACGCTTGAATTAATTTATTAAATAATAATAATAAATTACTATTTGTTAAGAAGCGACGGATGCCAACTGGACCAATTAAGCGCAGCTTAGCTGACTCTTTCACGTTCCGTCCACTTGGTCGTCTTTCCCAATTTTCTAATGGATTAATCCATTTTTATTTTGTTCAATATTTAATATTTTGTTCAAATTAGTATTTTTTTTTTTTTTTGTATAAATAACTTTCTATTTTCCAAATAATAATAATAATAATAATAAAGAAATAATATTTCTAAAAATAAATAAAATATTACACTGCCATTCAAATAGTTGAGGATGATTTTATAAAATTATATTTAATGGTGATTTAATATGTAACATAATATTGTCTGTGACAGCTTCACGAGTTTAAAACGCGTCTACTAAAAAGAGGTTTCCACACCATTCTAACGAATGATTTGTTCCTCTCTACAACCAATGTAGGATCTTATAATTCACCCCCTTCAGGGACCTAATATCCTGGAACACTGCCCAGTGTCTGATTTTGATACTATTTGTATCAGTTCAAGTCACCATTGTCCGCTTTAGCCAGTTACATATTATTGACAGTCTCACGATTTTAAAATGCGTCTTCGTTCTTCTCTCCAACTAATGCGAGATCTCACACAATGAACTTTAAACAATTTAGAAAAACAATTTTGAGAACAGAATTAGCGACTAATATTGTCTCATAGATTTTGAACGTTACATAACAAAGTGTTTGTAGTTGATAGGTGAAATTTGAGGCCCTATATACCCTTTCTTTTTCCTTTATATATTTATTTTGAAAAAGACATTTCTTTTATTTAATTATTTTTTCTTTTTTGAAAAAATGATTTTGTTTATGTATTTGTCTCATTTGTCTCTTTTTTTCCCCATATGTAACAAGCACTTTATAAAAAAAAGCAAAAAAGTTTTAAAAAATAAAAAAATAATAATTATAATAATTTTGTGTTTAAAATAAAGTAGCTCAAATATTATTTTTATTTTTAATATATATATTTTTAAAAAGTTTTGGATGAAAAAGAAAATGGAGGGTGTAGATAGAGTTGCCATTTTGGTGTAAGAGATAAAAACTATTTTTTAAAAGAAAAAATGTTGTTTTTGTTTGTTTATTCTTTTACGAACCCTAATTTGTCCCTTTCAAACCTAGTACTTAATTGTCGTTCACGTGCATAATTCGATTACGAGAAGTTGTGTCTAATTTTAGAGACTTAACGTCTTTGTACCTGAAAAGAAGAAATTCAATTAGGTTGACTGTGTTTGATTTACGGCTAATATAGATTGATTAGAACTTAGAACATTACCACACCATTGTTGATCTCTTCAAGCTCCATGCACCATCAAAAAAACGAAACAAACTCAATAAATTAAGACATTTTCTTGTCGTTTTTAACAAACCTTAAATTCCTCAAACAACCAATTAATTCATCTCACACACAAACGTGTATAAATGGACATACACCCACCTTTCTTCAAGCACCATCAACAATGGCGTCGCATAAGCTCGTGTTCTTGATTGGACTCTTGCTTATCACCTTGTTTGACACGTCGATAGCCAAAGGCAAGTTTAGTAAGAATAAAAACCAAGACATAATCCCTAAACGACCATATTCACCACCAAGGACACCCGTCATTCAATTTCGTAAATTTCAAATCGAGATTCATAATGACTTGAAAATGTTTATATTAGACAGTCGTTGTTACTCGAAAGATAATGATTTAGGGTTGCATATATTGTTCCCCGACGACCAACAAAACTGGACGTTTAGAGCTAATTTTATGGAGACGACCAAATTCATCTGCAGATTGGAATGGCAATACGGGTTGTTGATGTTTGATTCTTTTGTGAGTGATAATAATTTCTTGGACCGTCATTGTGAGAACTCAGTGTGTGGTTGGAGTGCAAGGCAAGATGGAGTTTATTTGACCAATCAAATTGGTCAATATGTTTTTTATGATTATTGGGATATGTTGTTGTAATATAAGTATTTATCGGCTCTTACGCGTAATTAAATTGTTAATAAATCGACGTGTAATAATAATGGTCAATAAAAAATTTCATATATTTTCTATTTTTCTAATGATTTTAGACATTATTAATAACTCCGAGTAGAAAGAACATGAATAATCAAATATTCTACTAATATACCTATTGGAACATGAATGAAGGTGTATGTGTCGTTTAATAATACGTGCTAGCTAAATAACTAGATATTAGATTCTCGTGCATAATTGATATCGTCCATTCCCAGCTTGGTTATTAACTCGTTAAACATTGAGTTGTGAAGTTTTTTTTTTTTTTTTTTTTTTTTTTTTTTTTTTTTTTTTTTTTTTTTTAGTACACATAACTTATTCATTGTGGATAAGATAATGTGCAATATTGATATCATAACTTTGATGACGCGACGCGACTTCAACGGTAGTTATAAAAACTTTGAATAAATCTAATGAAGGTGGAAAATTCATAGCTATGAAGACCGCTTCAAATAGAATTGGTCCAAGGCGAACAATTGATGGCTATGAAAGTTTCAAATAAATTTGTTCAAGGTGGAAGATTAGTAACTCTGAAGGCTTCAAATAAATTTGTTCAAGCGGGAAGATTAAGAGTAAATTATTTTACTTTTCTTATTAATTTCGAGTGTGATATACATGCTTTTTATAATTAAAAAAAAAAAACTAACTAACTAACTAAAATGAAATACCGTGACGAAAATGTAGAAACTTCTTCCTATTAAACGCATAATAGTCAAGAAAGGAGATCCTAAAAAGAACAAATAAGTATCTGGATGAATAACGTGAGATCGACGATGACACACAATGGGCCAAAAACAGACACTAGACCCTCGTGCACTATCTTATGGAAACCGACTAAATTCATGAATATTAAGTAACATGTAACAATAAATAAATAAATAAAATAAATCACATATATTAAATAACAATTATAATTATCATTAACGTGATTCCTTCAATAATAATAATAATAATAAATAAATAAATTATTTTCAATACAATTTTTACGACCAAATTCAAGAAAAAAAAACTTTTTTTTTTTTGGTAAGATAATAGCGATTTTATAGCAAATTAAACAGAAAATATTAGCAACTAAATTAAATTATGAAGAACATAATTTAAACGTGGTGTGTGGAGACAACCTGCGATGACGATGAATTCAAAACATGTCAAACAACCTGGGGGCTTCTCCGACAGCCGATTTAAACCCAGAAGAGGCTCAGAGAATTAACCAAAAACACAATGGCGGCGCAGGGGCTCATGCGACGGCTACCACTCCTCCTCCTGGTGCCCTTGACCATGTCGGTGGCCTCAAAAAAGAAGGCAGAAACAGGGCCCGAGCTGCCAGATCCGAACCAACCTGCCATAGCCCTACGCAAGTTTGATGTTCATACGGTTAAAGATATCTACTAATAAATTATAATTTAACATATATATTATATTTGATATTTTATTATAAGCTAAAATATTTGTCTTATTACCGTAAATATCTTTACATGTTATTTCCATTCATTACCATTTTCATATCCTTGTAATTTATTTGATTATAAATAAGATAACATTCACACCATTTAGGCGTAGTGGATTAATCAATCATTCTTAAACACCCATTACTGCTCCAAAGAAGACGACTTAGGGGTGCATGTTGTATACCCGAGCGGCGATGAACAAAGCTGGTCGTTAAGAGGGAACTGGATCCTGGGTTGTGGAATTTGATGCTTTTGCTGATGATCTAAACTTTGTGACCAGCTTTTGTGGGAATTCTTCGTGTGTTTGGACTGCAAAACGAGATGGGGTTTATTTGGCCGACCAAAATGGGAAATGCTTGAAGGATCAAAATGGAATTTGCCCCGCCCGACCATGTTTGATGTCATGGTTATGTTTGTCTCGGATAATTTTTTTTTTTTTTTATTATTATAATTTATGAGTGTATGATTCATATATGACTATTTATCGATTCTTCCATCTCGAGTTGTCTTATATCAATGTCATTGTTGTTGTTGGTTGTTTTTTTGCTTGCTTATAACATTGCTTTATAAAAGTTTTTCGTTTTCTAAAAATATTTTTCAAGAGTGAGGTCGGTGGCTTGAACATAGGTCGTCCCTTCACTAAAGTTAAGCTTTTTTTTTTTCGTGAATCGAATGAAATGAGAATTATTTGTTGGAGATGGTGAGATTTATTTTTTAATACTTAATAATAATTTAAATTATTTTATTTACCACCTAACATTATTCATTATATGAAAAATCTAATGTTAATTATTAACGTAATCTTAAACGGCATAAGATCCATTTGGAGTAAAATTATGTTTAAGAATTAGCTTAGAAGGTCCACTATATATGGATTAAGTTGGGTGCTTATGACGACAA